CTCATGGGCTTGATTCGGAAATCACGCACCTGAATCGGAGCATGGGCTTCACAGATTGGGCGGTACAATCTAGGAAATACAAATCAAAACTACTTTGAGATTTCAACCTATACCTGTCAGAATGACCAAGATCAACAAAACAAATGACAGCCAATGTGGGCAAGGATGTGGAGTAACAGAGCACTCAGCCATGACTGGTAAGAGTGCAAACTTGTATGACCACTGTGAAAATCAGTATGACAATTCCTCAGAAGATATTAACTAATCTACCCCAAGATCCAGCTATACCACATTTGGGCATATACCCAAAGGACACTTAATCCTACCACAGATACATTTTCTCAACCATGTTCATTGCTGTTCTATTCATAATGGTCAGAAATTGGAAACAACCTAAATGCCCTCCAACAGAAGAATGGATAATGAAATGCAGTACATTTGAACAATGAAGTATTACTTGGCCATTAAAAATGGCATCATAAAATTTGCAGGCAAATGGATAGGACTAGTGTAACATGAGTGGGGCCTGTTTGTTTGTGTTTTTCTGTCCCACCTGGTACCTCACAGCCGGCAAGCCCCAGAGAAAATCACCCACAGGACTCCGTAAGTTATAAGGCTGATTGGCCCATTAGGTCAGGCTACTTATTAACTAACTCTTACATCTTGATTAACCCATTTATCTGATCTATTTTTAGCCATGTGGCTCAGTACCTTTTTCAGTGGGGCAGCTTACATCCTGCTGCTTCGGTAGCCTGGGCAGGAATGGGAAGAATCAACTTCCTCCTCCCAAGAATTCTCCTGCTCTCCTTGAATCATTTCCACTTCCTGTCTAGTTTTCCTGCCTACACCTCCTGCCTGGCCAATCAGCGTTTATTTAAAACATGATTGACAGAATACAGACAATTCTCCCGCACCACTTCCCCCTCTTTTTTTAAAAAGCAAAGGAAAATATCCATAGTCCACTTTTTGGGAATGTGGGCGTAGTATTCCAGGCTACTTCCAACTTGTTGGGGGCACTGATAATCTTATAGGGACCTAAAGAAAATTTAGAGTTATGATCAAGTCCTGACTGAAGTATCCTGTGAATCTTGATCATCTCAGGCAGCAATCTTGAATCTGTTCTGTATGAAGAACTCAGACATATGGGCCATCTGTTCCTACCAGAGATTTTTCAGGTGGTCTTCCTTGGTCAAAGATGATTTTTCTTAACTCTGAATAAATTCATAGCCTCTCATTTTCTGTGGAAACAAAAGTAAAATCTCTTCTCCAAAGTAACATACCTTTTGACTTCAATTTTGAAGCCAAGGTATTTTCAAAATACCTATCTTCAGCATTTATAAGCAAATATCTTTTAGCAGCTGTTGCTCCTTCCTCAGCATTTAAACAATTTAAAGAGAGCATAATAGCATACAGTATCAAGATTCTCTGTATATTTTCCATCTTTATGTGGCTTTATTTTAACCTCTATTTCTTTTATTTTTACTTTTAACTTTTGGCTTTTTGAGACAGATTCTCTGCATATCTTTGTCCTGGAATAACTCTGTAGACCAGGCTATCTTTGTACTCCCAGAGATCCATCTGTCTCTGCCTCCCAGGCTACTCATTCTTTTCTTTTTCTTTTTTTTTTTTTAACTCGAGAACTTTAACCTTTAGCCTGTATATATTTTTAACACAATGTAAACCATTTAGAGGTTTTCTTACTCTTTGAATCTCTCTTTACTGTATATCTCTCTTTTTCTGACCACATGGGTCTTTAATTTGCTAAGGAATATGGAGAAAACAACAGTCAAAAGCTCTTAATGCGTTTCAAGGTCCTTGCTAGGAAGCAAGCAGCAACAGTGTTTCCATAGTCTGGACTGCCTGCTTGAAAGAGTCAGAGTTTTCCCTGGTAGGACGGCCCAGAAAGCCGGCATTTTAAAACAGCGCAGCTTTTTTCCTGCTACGGCTAAAAACTGAAACGCTTTACTCTAGTCTTTTCCAAGCTTTCTCAGGCTTTCTGTGGATGCAGTTATCCACGTGGGCGCCATTATGTAACATGAAAAGGCCTGGGCCTGCTTGTCCCGCCTACACCTCCTGCCTGGCCAATCAGCGTTTATTTAAAACATGATTGACAGAATACAAACAATTCTCCCACACCAGACTAGAAATAAAATCATTCTGAGTGAAGTCTCCCATACAACAAAGAAATAAAAATATGGTATATGTTCTCTTATATATTGATGCCAGTTGTTAAATCAATGATAACCAAATTCCAATCTGTAGAACCACAGAAGGCATATAGGGTAAGGGAAGAAGGTACAAATACATCTTGTTAGGAAGGAGGAATAGAAAAGATAATTATGGATGGATGGGAAGCAGCTGCAATTGGTGGAACAATTACAGAGGAGGGAGAGAGACAGGGATTGAGGCATCAAGTAAGGAGAGACGCTAAGATAAAGGGGCATATGAGGGATAGTATGGAAACCTAATACAGCAGAAACTTCCAAATATATAAAGATGATCTAAATGAAACTGTCAAATAATGGGGGAGACAAATAGCTATCTCTTCCCACCAAATGAAGTTTCCAGTATTTATACTGGGTTACGTCTAATTGTTGAAGTAAGGGGTCCCTTGGGAGTTCCAGACAACAAAGGCTGTTAATTAGACAATATATTGCTCTCCACAAAATGACAGCAAGCCACATTGCCAAAGATTTGCTAGGAAGTTTGTGGAAGTGACCAACCAATATCTTATTTGACTTAATTAAGGCCCTCTTCACAAGATGGAAGCCGTAATTAACACTGCTTGAGTGAAGATTTAGCTAGGTAGAAAGTTGATCTGAGAAGCCCCTCTTTTATGTGTTGCTTTGCTTGGTTAATGAATAAATAAGTTGCTTGAGTCTATGACAGGGCAGAATAGAGCTAGGCTGGAAAACTAATCTGAATGTAGGGAGAAAGTAGACAGAGTCAAGGAGATGCCATGGAGCTGCTGAAGGAGTAACACGCCAGTACCAGTAAGGCACAGCCTAGTGGTGATACATAGATGCATAGAAATGGATATAAGAGCTAGCTAGAAATATACCAGAGTCTTTGGCCAACCAATATTGTAATTAATATAGTTTCTATGTGATTACTTCAGGTCTGGGTGGTTGGGAATGAACAAGCAGTCTCCATCTACAGAAGTAAAACCAAATACCACTAGTCTAAAAACAAAGCAAACAAATAAACAAAAACACATAAAATGACTTCTAATGATATTCTGCTATGCTCATCCATCAGTGCCTTGTTTAACCATCATCAGAGAAACTCCTTCCTATATCAGATATTTGTATCTTCGGATCAGATACAAAGATCCGCAGCCAAAAATTACACAGAGAGTGAGAGACCTTGGAACACATCCAAAAACCTTCCCCATCAGAGCTTAGGAAATCCACTAGAAGAATTGACAGAAAAAGTGTAAGAGTCAGAGGTATTGGAGTACAGCAATGAAATGAGACTCACAAAATCAACATGAGCCAAGCTTATATGAATTCACAGAGACAAAGCAGCAAGCATAGAGCCACACACAGGTCTGTGCCAAGTTGTGTGAGTGTGTGTGTGTGTGTGTGTGTGTGTGTGTGTGTGTAATATATATGTGTGTATGTGTGTGAGTATAATGGTTTTCTGTTTAAAGTTTATATGGAATTCCTGAGAGTGCAAAAGATTAGGTCAATACCTCCTGAGTCAGATAAGTCTCCATGAATGAGACACCCAGTTTAAGCATTACTTTCCTCATTGGGTGGGCCATCCTTATTGCTCTCTGACCTTCTTGTCCCAACATAGTCTTTAATATCACTTGTGTCATTGTAAGATATTGTGCTAGTGAAACCTTCACTGCTTGCTAACAATTAACCTACATGATAAAGAGGATTCTAGATAAGCAGACTTACTAATTCATCTAGCTTACAGAAAACCACCCGCTGATTTATCTCTCCATGAGATAACTAAGGTTACTAAGAACCAATAGCCAGTCTCTGAAGTCAAGCATTAAGAAACTGAAAAGAGAGCAGATTGTGCTTATGATTTATTACGAAATGAGAAAACATTCTAATACCTGCACTACATGCTTGAGCACACAGAAAGTACTAAATAGTGTATACCAAAGGAACACATATATAGTGGCACATATATGCTATGTTTGAACATACATGTGTATGGCAAAGTTGAATGTATTGCATAGGTAAGTTTGAGGATTATCAACTACAGACAATAAGAGAACAAGACCGTAACAGCAAAAGCCTGTATTGAAATAGCTGTCAGCACTCAGCACATTGTAGCACTGACCATTCTGGAAGATAATACCTGTAATTGCAGACATGGTCACCTTGATTTCTGTAACTCAGGGAAGCTAGTACAGGATTGGGTTGCTGGGAAGGAAGAATCAGAGCCCAGCACAATGCATTGGGAACACAGTAACATCACACTCTACAGAGTGATAAAGAATTGAAACTGGGTGAATTCATGTCAACTAAAAATATCAAATCCAGAAGTTGTCATAGAGTCCTTCAGAGCAGGGTTGCTAGTATACAAATAGAACTCTTCATGCAGACCACAGCCAATGACTGAAGATCATCCATCACAGAGAAACCATCCACCCTTCCTTCTAGAGCACCAGTACTACATTTAATTCTGTCATCAAGACAAATGTCATGTTTGAACATAAAAAAAAAAACTTCACAAAAATAGAAAAAGTAGACAGTACACTTGAATTTAATGTTTATTGTTAAAGGTATCATTTGGTGCATTGGAACAGTTGGAAATCAAGTCACGACAGGAATCCATGACACAAATCAGTGTAGCGCTGCAGTTACAGCAGCAACCATGCCTTACTGGAACAAACAGACAAGATTTCACACCCTACCCTGGCTTCTCAATGACTGTAGTGTCTTCTGCACACAGCAGAGGCTGGCCACTTTGAAGACGATGGGTTCTTCTGTATGTGTTTCCCTAATATCTTCTCCTCCTTCTCGGCCCCAGGCAGCTCACAATACAGGGTACATGGCATAGGAAGCAATTCCACAGTAGTTGTTCTGGTCTCTGGGAATCTTCATGTAGCCTTTCTCTCCCCAACTTTCACCTTGGCTGAAAAATCGAGATTTCCATTTAGTAGAAAAGACATGGCAGAGTGGATGATTGCAATAACTCCACATTTGAGCACTGAGCCAGAGGCCAACGCAATGGAAAGCATCAGAAAAGACAGAGTCAATTCCAGAGTACCAAGAGTTATCTCACAGAGGACAGTAAAAGTCACAGCAGGGAAAATTGGGACATCTTCTACCCATTGGTTGTTCAGAAAAAAACAATAAGAAATAGAAAATCAATGACACAAAGATTATATTGATTGCCAAGGAAAGCAGTGGCAGAATCTGAACTCTGTTTTCATTCATATATTATATATTAGTGCTTCAGAAGATAGGGATCAGACAATAAAGCCAGATCACACAAGGGTAATGTTTGGGGTTTGAGGTCAAACTCCTCTTGAAGCTTAGATGAGGGTGAAACCAAGTCTCGGTGCCTGGGAGCACTTGGAGCTCCTCCACAGGACCAAAGTTCCCACCCAGCACAGCCCCCGTGTGAATGAGTTCACACTCCCCTGTAACTGAAGCTGTGGGGAACGTGGTGTCTTCGTCTGGTCTGCATGAGCATCTGTGCACACATAGCACTCACTCACACAGACACACATTCACAACCAAGGAAAATAACTTCTAAACACTAGGATGCTTTTGCAGCCAGCATGTAATTGCAGAAGCCAGGTGTGTCTAGAACAAACTGGATAAGCACACTACCAAAAACAGAAAACTCTGGGTTCAGTGATATTAAACTCCTCAATACATAATGTGGAGGACAAGTTAGAAAGATAATAAATGTCGATATCAGACCTATATACAAATACACCACACATACAAACACACAAAAAAGCAGACACATACACACATAACACATACATCTGAGCATCAAAAGGAAAAGATGTTACTTTTTCAACTTAATTGTGACAGTGCTCTCTGTGACTTCTATCTAAACTATCACTACAAGTAGAAAGTTCCATTTGAAACCTAAAATACAGACAATGGTAGCTATTTATACCTGTTCTTTATCAGCCAGTATTTCTTGCCTTCTGACTCTCTGCCTTCATAGCCAAAGCCGACCAACAGCACCGAATGGGTAGGAGAATCACGAGTGCAGTTTGGCTCATGGTACATACCTAAAAAGGAAAAACAGTGGAGTAAAAGACACCAGGAACCTGATGACCGTAGTCAACAACAGTAAGTGTGGCATATTCTAACTGGGCTGTAACGACAGAAATTCCAATAAAAATAGAAACTATTCTTGACAGAAATGCTGATTATAAATTCTCATCAAAATCCTCAAACAAAATAAAATGAGCATAAATAAAATGAGTACTTTCGTTGAAAAGTACTTTCCCTTATTAACATAAAACGACTCTTTCATATCTTTGGTTTTTGCTAATAGAATCACATTCCAAGAAATCATAACTGAACATAAACCTTTTCATTGAAGGCACTCTTTAGAATGCAGTTTTAGAAAGGCAACAGCTCCATATATTAATATACACCAAGTAGAGAAAAATAGAGTAAACAAAGCTAAACAATACGATAAATAATGAAGTATGCAGATGCATAGGTATGTCTTCTCACATAGAAACAGCACAAGTGTTTTTACTGCACTAACAAGTGTAAAATTTACAACCCCTAACACTCACATCAAATTTTATACATTGTTAAGATATCAACCCGGCATGTCCCAAAGTGTCACAAACATTCTTCACCAATATCTAGAAAACCACATACTTACCTCCTGTATACTTTCTAAAAGATTCATGTCCAGCATCAATTCCAACAGCAATGGGCCCATGAGTTACTAAAGCATTCAGTAGGGCATCTTCATTCCTTGGGACAACGAAAAAGCGGGCAATCTTGACAACAGAACGTTCAGCACGGTACCTGCAGTGTCCTTCCTTTAAAAGGTGAACAGTTAAAAGATTTGGCTACTTCCATCTACCTTCTGGAGAGCAAAAGTCAGAACCACAACACTTGGCACTTTGCAGAGGACCATCCCCACATCTGCACTATCATAAATCATTCCAGGAAGGGAAATGTTACGAGGATAATTGGAACTGAAAATCAGCTCTCATGTCTTCAATGACACCTCTATAAGAAATTTTCATGGTGCAGAAATCTGTATTATATGTGGAATGCTTTGCACATTCTCTATGTGTACAGAAGCAGGAACACCTACATGGAACCATGAAATCAGGCAACCGTGCCATGGTGTTTACTGTAAGGTCAACACTGGTGCTGTGCAGAGTCTACATTCAAGGTGAGCTGTGAGGGAATGGATTATTTCTGCCATTTTCCCCTTGCACAAGCCTAACTGAAATGACCACCCAGTAAATCCACTTACCTTTGCTTCATATGGATAGGTTGCCTCGGCCTCCAGACCGCCATTGTTCCTTACGTAATGGAAGGCATTATAGATTCTGCCTCCTTTACAGCCAGTAGTGCCAAAAGATCTAGAACAGTCTATTAGGTTCTGGGCACTCAGCGGAATCAGTTTTCCTGTTTTCTTGAACAATTGTCCTTCTATGGCAGCAGCCACAGCAAAAGCCCAACAAGCACCACAACCTCCCTGAGTAGGAAAGATAATATTGTCATTCACAAACAAATACTAACAGCCAGCAAAAACTCAAGCAGTTGAGTACTTGTCAAAAAAGAACTATTAGCATTTGTTGGATGCCTAGGTGAGAAGAGTCTGTCTCCATGGAGAGGTGTCTTATGCCCCTGTGGGGGCCACACAAACACACACAGATGCACATAAAGTTTTGATATACTTGTTGCCAAGTGTGATGAATGTCATTAATGGAAGAAACTAAGTCTCGAGAGAGATATAGTGGGACCACTAGAAGGAGGTGGAGGTTAAAGAGTAAATAAGTAGTGTGTGGAAATGCTAGGTATATATTCTACACCTGTATAGGCCCCATAATTGCTAAAACATGAATTAGGGATTCCACATTTTGGGGGACAACCAAGAAACATTTGTTACTAGCAACAGAATTCTAAGGACAGTACCTGTGGTATTCAAGATATGAAAATAAGTTTGGTTAATAGCATGTCATACCAGCCAAATACATGCATGTCAATAACTTGTTGCATCCCCAGTGGAAGACAGTCATAAGATGTCATACCTGTCTCCGCACGGGGGTTACATAGCCTTGTGTCCTCCAATCCAAAGTTTTGGGGATCTTGGTATCTCCTCGTTTCTGGATGCGTTTTCCATTCTTTAGAGTCAGAACTGAACTCCCCTTCATCATTTCCCTCATCTCTTCTCCAGTCTTTAAGGAACAGAACATAAAGACTCAACTTAAACAACAGAAGAGGAAAAGATGAGTGTGGGACAGTTTGAGTCACACTCACCATGTCACCAAATTCATTCATCTCTACGGTGATGTTTTTCATCCCCAGACCATTCTCCTCACTGAGCAGTTTGATCATCTTGACATTTTCTCCCCATATTGCTCTCTGATGTCTTTCTTTCTCCTGGAAATAAACAGAAAGAATAACATTCATTTCTAATTACACCCCTGTAGTACCTGACCAGGTGAACTGGCTGCTGCATATGCCTAGAGGTCATGGAAGGATCTCAGGACACTGAAGCAAGCCACTCTCGACACCCCAATGAGCAGAGACAGTGGCCACATTGTACTCATCTTCTGTTACATTGATACCTCAAGTAGGAATGGCATCTATGGTCTCTGTTATGTCCATGAACCCCCAAAAGCAATGGATGTGCTCTACAAAGACACTGCTTTGGGTGTCCATGTGACCTACTGGGCTGTATGTTTTCTCAAAGCTCCTCTTCCACTCCTCCCACTCAGCATCCAAACTGTAATCTGGTGTTGGAGCAGCTGAGGCCAGTCCCAAGCACAGGATGGCCAAGACGATAGCAGCAGTCATGTCTCAAATACCTGTAGAGAGAAGAGAAATGAAGAGGAGAACACGCCAACACTCTTGAGAAACTAAGCCATTTGTGCCAGATAAAATTCTTCCAACTACTCTCCCACATACTGACTCAAAGACTTTTGGAATGGCTAAATATGAGTTTGAACTAGAAATGCCATGGATAGTATTCAGTTTTTGTATAAAACTGCAGAGCCTGTGGAAAAATTCTAGAAATTCAAGGAAACTGCCATGTACTGCAAATTGACATGATCAGAAAGATGAGCATGGACATCAAATTCAAAAGTCACATATCTCGGAGCTTGGATAAAGTGAACATAGGATTTGTAATGGTAAAAATCTTCTCTTCCGTGGCATCTGATCCTAAGGACAAGTTTCCCCAGGACTTGAAATCACACTGCATGAGAACCTTTAATACTGAGCAGCATGTGGGCTATTTGAAACACTCTCTCTTGAGTGGAAACATTCTAGATTGTCCTGTTTAGAAAATATGGGGGGAAAAATAAAAATTTCTAGTACTCTATCAGACCATTGGGACTTTGAAATACACTCATTACATCAATGAGGAAAAATCACAAACGGAAAAGCCAATAGAAGCTAGAGACACCGTGATGATGTAGAGTGGATCGACAACCCTGAAGTCCTAGGTTCAGGCCTTGCTGGGTCTCTTAAGCAGCATTTCCTATGAGAACTGGCGACAAGTGACATGCCACCTGCCACTCATTCTGCACATGTCAATTAGGAAAAGAACAATTTATCCAGGGCTGATGTGTAATACAACGGTCTCTGTAGGCTCAGGATGAGATGAGCAGGGCCCTGGTGTGCATGATACCAGCTGTCACTCTCTCTGGCCAGGACCAGACTTGCACTTAGTTGGAACCTATACAAACCTGGACCTAGGAGAACCCAGGTTTACCCTCTGACTTCCACACCGTCTGCTTCCTCCACACCTCACAGCTGTTGAGGTTGAGAAGATATTCTCATTTCTGGGGATCTGCCTGATTTCCCCTGGAGTCGCAAGGCTCTCCTCCAGAGTCAATTCCCAGTCTACCATGGCAGAAGCAAGGCCTCACCTGTGGTGACCTCTGTTCCTTCAGTCCACTCCAGAAGCTCTTCTGAGGTTGCTGAGTTGTCAGAACCTGGTCCAGCAACACCTCAGTCTGGCTTAAATCCCACATCTCTGGCTAGTCTCTCAATCAATCCTTCCCTTCTACTGATTGACTATCATGTGACTAGATTGGGCCTCCAGGCTTCTACTGAGATCTGATCTTACCTATCCTTAGGGGTGGGTGTGGACTCCCTGAGCATAATTTGAGAACTTGAACTTGCAGACATTCACACAAAAAGTTAGGGAACCACATTTCACGCCTTGGATCACGCAATAGCCTGGCATGTTATCTCAACAGTAGCTCAGAATGGGGGCAAGGAGTTCCCAAGAAAAACTATGTAGAATTTTGTCTTAGCACTTAGTTAGAATAAGAGGATTTGGTTGCTGCTATGATGTGTGCTGTCAGCATATTCTGCTCTTGTAGCTACACTGGGATCCTACGAGAAGACTGACTTGGCAGGCTTTCTTTTCAGTGTCTCAGAAGAAAGCAGGTAGGTCTCAGAAGAAGCCCAATGTTGGAGGACCAATTCCATAGAGAAAGAGTTGTTCAAGACCAAAGCAAGGAGGGAAATGAATGCCCTAGTGTGCATGGTCTCACAACCCTGTCTGACATTTCTCTGCTTGAGGTTAAGTTAGAAAACCGTTACCAAGCACCCTCAGACCTGTCAATATTTTCATTCAGTAACGCATGCATCACCTGGAATGTCAACATTTACAGTCTTAGATATAAATCTCAATAAACTTAGGGACACCGTCATTGTTGTGCAAACATCACCAAGTAGAATTCCAGGAAGATTTTCTCTGCTTTCAGGAAAAGTGGACTCTTTAAGCCGTACTCCTCTAATCCCTGTCTTCAACCTCATCACCCTTCACTTCAATTTCTCTGTCTAGAAATTTTCCTGCTACCAATGGTAGAGTGTTTTTCCTTGCCAAAGTCATATTGGAATTAATTTCCACTGTCCCAGTATTGAAAAGGGGATGATTGAGAACGATCTTAGTGTCTGGTAGTTACTGTAAAAAAAAAATCTCCTCTTCACCAAGGTTATGTGACTTTTCCTATTACATGGCAACACCACATTCTGTTTTTCCATTCATTGTAACATTTCTTGCTTCCTTGAATCATAGAAGAAATATATAACACCTTTCTATGTTGCATCCTACACTGCCAAATTTGCACAAAATCTAAACTCAACAAATGCATTCTAAATGTAAAACAAGCAGTAAGGAATATTTATATTATACAGAGTAATGCAGTATTATGACCGCATGTATTTGAAATATGTAATTATTCACTACTTGCTAAATAAAACTGGACTGCCCCATTCGGAGCTCTGAGTTTCTGCTAATAATGTCTGCATGCCCTTATATTACTTCATTTCAGTCAAGAATCCTGAAAAGTCTGCTCACCAGAACTCATTATTGCTGTCTGATCATACTTCAAATCTGATCAGGATTAATTCTTGCTGGTCTGCATCCTGAACATCTGTCTAGCCACAGTAATTCAACTCTGATTCTGTTTGTTGCAATATTTTTTTCTTATTTTCAAATCCCCACCCTTCTTCTTGGCATAAACTCTGTTACGTGGACGTATGTTGGCCAGACCCATATGTTGAACGATCCACTTTCCACACTGAGTCATCCTTATCTGTATCTCCAGGGTCCTTAATAATTTTTCCTAGCAATGATGTAGTGAGTATCACAAGGTAAGTACCTCTTAGGCAGCAGTTCCCTTTGGACTTCAGTTATCCAATATAGCATCAAGTGAGTGGCCTCCTTTGTCAAATCAGGACCACATTCCTGTCAAGACCTAGAGATCCTCTCAGATGGCCTCAAAAATTTTGTGTGGTGCAGGAATAAGGTGGAAGGATCTAAAGCTAGCTTGCCCTTCCTAAGTCGCTCTAGAATGACATAACTTGACATTATAGCCCCCTAGTAGAAAGGTAGGTAGAACCACTTTTCATCTGCAAGCGTCCTTCATTCTCATCTCCAGTGGATGCTTCCATGAATAAGTGTGATTGTAGAAGACAGCTCATCACCTATGTGCAGATTTTCATACGAGGTCATGATCAGTGGCAACTCCATCCCTGAGATCTTGCTAGGAAAAAAGTAGTACTTAAATCTACCCAGTCTACTGAACCAAGCCCTCAGTTTAGTGTTGACCTCCCTTGAAGTGTGAGGAGCCCTATGAATGGTAGTTGTAAAAATGAGAGAAAGTACATGTGTAAACAGCTCAGAACAACACTGGGAACCTCACTCGTATTTCTCTATAAGTACCATATTAAAAATAAGATATATAGCAGGAAGAATCATTTCCAACAATGCTTCATTCCCTTGACTGACAATCCTCACAGCAGTGATAAACACCCCTAGAAGACACCCCATGGCAGGTGTGTATGCACACAGGTCTTTCAGTGTAAAGACTTTAACTGTCCCCTCCTCTGATTAACATAAGACACCTGGATTGAGTTTATTTATAATTACGTTTGTATTTCTTCATTGAGACAGTGACTGACTGTTCAGTTCATGCTGACCCAGAATTTTCTGTATAGACCAGATTTGCAGACTGACCATGATCTGACTGTGTCTGCCTCAGTAATGACCAATTAAAGACATACACTACTACACCAGTGTGTGTTTGTGTGTCCATAGTGTGTGTGTAATATATTATTGAGTATATATAAAACTGTTTTCATAACAAAATGACTATGTCAGTATTTATATAATAGTAAATGAGTGTAATGCTTCAGTTAATGCTATTTAGTCCCAGAACATTTCTACAGTTCAGGAAAAACCTAATATCTATTCTCCACACTTCCCGTTGCACTTTTCCATTCTCTATGGTCTGTCTGATGGACATATATTCTAAAACGTCATATGAATAAAATTGTAGCATACTTAACTTGAAGTCTGGCTTCTTAATTTGACAATGCTTTTTAAATTATATTTTCATATTAACAAACAATAACTATCAGGTAAATATGAACTTGGCCTCATTGCAAAAGCAATAACTTTTTTCCTTCTTCCTTTCCATTCATTCACTCATTCATTCATTCATTCACTCAGTCATTCATTTTTTGAATTCCCAGAGGTCAAAGAGAGAATTTGCCAAGTTCTCAAAGCATTCCTTTTCAGCTGGGCTCTTTGAATTACATTATCCACCAGAATATATAGAAATTGGCATGTGAGTCAGACAGTTGACTTGGTCATCTGTTCTCCATGATTCTTGCATGTGTGTGTGTATAAACTGAAGCCCAAATACCTCCTGTTCCTCCTCTCCACCTGGGCTGCCACCTGGAGGAAGTGTCACTTCCTGTCTCAGTGGGCTGCCTCTAAAGTTGACTAAGCTTAGATTTGTCATTTCTTCCACGCAGCCGGGAACACCTAACAGTTTGTTGTTGCTAAGAACAAGAGTCCCCAAGTTTTTCATATTTCTGATTCTCTTTGACAGACATGTTATTTCATCCCTCTATAGCCAAAATGTATGTAAACTTTGCATTTGTTTCCATATCTGTGAGGCCCATGGGAGTCTTGCTTAGTTGGTTGAGTGGACCATGTTCTCCTGGTGTCCTCCATCCACTCGGGTTCCTACAGTCTTTCCTCCTCCTTTTCTCCAGGGTTCCCCAATCTATTAGGGGAGAAACCAACAAAGATCTCCAATATAGACTCTCTACATGTGGATCTATGAACCTGCTCCCATCTTCTGCTCAAGGGTATCTCATTGATGACAACTGGACAAGGCATTGACCTAGGTCCTGAACTATCCAGTTTCCAGTGCCTGGTCATTCAGGTAGTATAGGCATGAACTCCCTCTCACGGAATGACCCACTTAAGGAAATATTCAACACATCAGGGAGATGTATAGCAAAACTGCTTTAATATTTCAACTTAA